AGTCACAGTGATTCACTCCTCCCTTTACCCCAGGATTTTATTTCTTTTCCCCTTCTCTGATACCTTTGAACTTCGCTGCCTATGTGAAAGATTGCACGCAAGGGACATCAAGCAAGTGCCAAGGCTGGGAAGACAATGACCTCACCTTGAAAATGTTAGCAACATGTTGTTTTACAATCTTCCATCTTCAGGCATTTTCCCCTGGGTGACAGACTGTTCCAGACCCCATTTATGCAGATGTTTGTGGAGCAAATCAACAGCTGCTAAGGTCACAGAGGAGACCAGGCTGGGGCAGCCACAGGCATGGGTTGTCCCCATAACGGAGAAAGAAGCCTTCAAACTCCATTCACTGCCCTCTAAGTGGTCTCAAAAGGGAGACTTTGTCTTTCCACTATAAATAGGGTACAAACTCGAAAAGTAGAATTTGTTGCCCTCTAGGTCCAAAGACACTATCTTGCCACAGGGATGACAGTACAGAGGAGCCTATTTTTGCATAGCACGTAGCCAGGCCCCAGTGGTGATGACTCTGGGCAAGTCATTATCGAACAGTTCAGCTTCATTTCAATGAATTCAAGAGATACTGAAACAAATCAATACCCAAGGGTAAACTGTGGCCATCTCTCACCTCCACACAAATGGACCATAGATGGCTCTTCACTAGGCTTGTAGAGAATAATGGTGGTTGACAGAGTGTAAGTTCTACATTTCTCACTGTACTGTGCAGTTAGAGAAGTCCTGTAAAATCGGAGGTTGGAGGGATGGCATTTCATCGGAAAGCTACCCAAGCAGAGCTATCACTAAACATAGTAGTGGACTTCCAAGAGAAAAAAGGACTGCAGACAAACCAGCTGGAGAAACTAGGAACAGAAAAAGGACAATCAAACCAAGCCCAACCCCCTTTAAACTGCTATTTTACCTACAATAAAAGGCTGTCTGGATACAGAGAGCTGTGACACAACAGCTGTTGGAAGTGCCACTGGAGGAACATTGCTACCCCCAAACCTTATTATTTTATTCAGATGGCGTCTCCAGCATAGGACTGCAATGCTTCCCAGTGCACACAAACATGTTTTCCAAGAGCATGGGTATTTCCAGGTGTGCTGGCATGTTTTCCTTTCAGTGTGTGACAGCTAAAACCTTTGGTGAGCAGAGACTATTGGGAACAGCAAGACCACAGGCTAGAAGCTCTGCTCATGCAGCTGCTCAAAGACAGGGAGAATGTCCTTGCTGCCCTTTGAAAAAGGGAGAAACTATGTAGAGAGCACAGGGGCTATGGCATATCTGCACCATGCACAGACAGCTCCTGCTTTCAGCCAAACCTTGGGAAAAAAACCAAACCAGCCAAACAAATATTCCTATATTTCAGGGAGCAGCAGGCACTCCATTTTTCTGTGCTGGCTCCACAGCAGGGGATAAATGCCAGGATTGTACATGGCGGTCCAAGCACCCCAGCAGCTGAGACACTTGTCTTCATGCAGGAGGCCCATGGCCAAACTCTTTCTGCTAATTCATCCCAGTATCAGCCAGGAAAGAGCTTTCTCTGCACCATCCCCCTGTGTTATTTGCTGAATAAAATTCTTTCTCATTAACAGACCAAAGCCCAAGAAACGGCCACTGGAACAAACAAGGTTCTGTGTAGATATAAATCCCCACCTCACCACCAGGGAATTAAAGCACAGAATTAGGCTGTAGCTGTTCCCTTTCAGCACAATGAATGCTTAAGCAGGTTACAGCTTTGCACTGCAGACATCTTCTGGGGAGAAGAAATAATGACTTCTTTAGCAGCCCGACTCACTTGCTCTCAGGGAAACAAGCCTAGAGATTACCTGTTAACAAAACCGTTAAGAATGATTACTGCATGTCAGTGTGTTTGAAGCATTAATGTTAAGGATTGCTCAAGTGCCAGTATTTCTTCAGCCTAGTGTTTTCCCATCAGGGATGTTTGTGATGTGCAGAAGGGCTAACATGGCTACCGTGGGAGATGTCAGCTAACAGGACAACCTTCTCACTGCTGCTGTGGCAAAAATTCATACAAGTCCCTGAGAAAGAAAGTTCCTAATTTTCCACACAGGAAAATCTGTCCTTCAGAGACTTACATCAAGTTTGTTAGGCACTGCAAGAAAAACAGTTATCTGGATAGAAAAAGAAAGTCACTTAACTGCTAGACTTGCTATCTGAACTGCTCATCAAAGCTGAAGATTTACCCTGTAATTCTTGAACTTGGCACTTTGCTACTCAGGACAAGCAGCAGCTGATGCACTCGAGGCAGACATGATTGGTGCTGTTTTGCAAGAAGGTGGGATGCTGGAACTCTTGGAGATTTTGATTCTGTTGAAGCCCATGGGCTGATTACAGGCTATACAATGGCAAAGTGAGCTTCCTCCTCCCAAGATGTTATAGACTCTGAGGGGAACCAGGGAGTGAAGCAGAGCCCTTTCACTGTTACAGGGCATCCTATATGTTAGATCCTGGATTGCTCCAGACCATGAAAAACTTAAACCATACTGAACTGAGGAACAAGGACAGAACAACTGCAGACAGGGCAAACCCTGAGATGAAGCTTTGGATGTGGTGGTGAAAATTCAGAAAGAACATAGGCTGTACACAAACCCAAAAGATATGAGGGTTGTGGCAGGGGAGTTAGCAGTGCACACAACTCTTGCCAGCACATCATCACTTCCTAGGAAAAAGCACAGAAAAGGGGATTAAGCTGCCAGCTCTGCGACACTACTACCCAGGTTGAGTTTTGCACCTGCCTTCCATGCTATGCTGTAGCAGAGGATGGCCTTAGCATGTTCCCTCCTTCCCCTGCATTGTCTGGAAGATGACCTTTTCTCCTGCAAAGCCCTGCTTTAACACACCAAATACACACGGTGTATTTTTAAAAACAGGGATATTATATGCTGCCAAAACCATGGCCCAACAGAAGGTACATGGGCACTACGACTATCAGCAGTAAGTTCAGGTGCCAGTGAGAGCCAAGGTGACAGAAGGTCCAAGCAGAGGAGACTGCTGCTTTGAAGTGCAGCAGCACTTCCTGGTTCACAGAGATAATTTGGACACCAGTGGGAAATGCAGGTCCTTGAGGACACTGGTCATGCTAGACCTGGGATTTGCTCCAAGCACAGACAGTGGTGCACAGTGCAACATCCCCCACCATGGAGGGGCAAGGCCACTGCCTGAGCTCACCTTTGTTTCAAGCTGGAATAATTTCCAGAGAGAAAAATGGCAGTGTGGCTGCTGGAGACTGTATGGGGTGGTTGCAATCCAAACTTACCACCAGTGATTGAACTGAGAAATCTGTGTTGTGCCAACAGGGCAGAGAAACGAGTGCCATGGATGTCAGACACAGATGTGATGCCGGAGGTGAGCGTGCCCCTAGCATATCCCATCTGCAGGGACAGCATGGTTCAGTGACACAGACTCCCTCCTGACAATGGGAATCTCTGGGTTTCTTGCTCTGCCACATGCTGTGCCCCTTGGAAAAAAACCCAAAAACTTTCTCCTACTTTGTGGAGCCTTCTCTTTAAATGGAGATCTTAGTGGGAGGCTCTGCATCCTACTATTATGGCAAAACCAAATTTGAATTGATTTTCCCCAGCTGCCACTGATAACAAAAAGCCTGATACTACCAACAGTCATAAAATTCTTGTGCATATCCCCCTCAAACAAATGCAACAAGTGACACTCTGGTAGCAGAATCATATGTCACCTCCTCTTTTGAGAGCAAGACTATGTGACATAGACTTTCAATCAAACACCAAAACTGCCAAATAAGAAACAGATATAGCTGTAAAGATCTATTTACCTATTCTCAACCTAGGGATTAATTTATTAAAATATTTATCTACCTTTGTACTGTTCTAAAATGTAGTACTATTGTACTATTACATGTTTATGAGTATTCCTGAAACAGTAAGGGGACTTACTCAGCAAGGCTACTGATCATGAACTTTGACTCTGCACTAAATAAAGATGATGCAGTTTCAAGTTTTCTCCTTGTGTTTTGGATATTACGAACCCACTGAATATTACAGTGTCACAAGAAGGTTCTCAACAGTTAATTCCTATTCAGGAATAAAATCCTCTTTTTTCATATTTTGATGAATTTTCTCCAACATCTAAACTGTATAAACTTTTAATTCCAACCACAGAAAGGAGTGACTGAAAAATAGTAATAATAGCTGCCCGACACTTTCTCATTCCACCACCTCAATAACACTGCTACAAACAAAACCTCCCCCCACAATAAAAGTTATTACAAACTATTTCCATCTACAAAGCCAAAACAATCTGTCCATCAGCATTTGCCCAGCACCAAGAATTGGCAGTTCTCTAGCACATGCCAGTCACCTTCTGTGACGACTCCACCTTTGACCCTTTCAGCCAGCACAAGCAAAGAAAGATGGTACATTCAGTACAGTGAGAGCTGCGTGTAAGAAAAGGGGATAAATCCCAGCTTTCGGTGATGAGCCAAAGGAGCTGATTCACAACTCCACAGCATTGTGCTGGCTATGGGGATGATACAAACTACTCATCTTCAAGTGCTCCTTTGAAAGAGAGGTTGGTAGAAAAAGCTAGAGATGCAAGATGTGTGCTTGTGGAGGCTTGAGGGCACAGGCCAGCTTATTTTAACACAGAATCAAAATCACAGAATCACCTCGGTTGGAAAAGACCTCTGAGATCATCGAGTCCAATCTAAACACAATGATATGCAGATGGTTTTGCTGTTTCAAACATACTTAAACTGTTCTTTAAGACCTGTGTGTGCTCCTCTCTCAGCATTCAAAAATATTTATATTCCGGATGTGAATCACCTTGTAAAGCACAGCAGCTGAGACAGTGTGCTTAAGTGATCAAAGCACCTTTCAGAGCTGTACTACCAGCACTGACAAGCAGACCTGTTTTACAAACACTTTGATTTATAATCTCAGCGAGGTGACATGTTTTCCTCCTCCTGTCCCAGGTTGGATACCGAAGTGGCACATGCTGACACTTACCTAGGAAGCCCTCTTCATCCACAATGATGGTGTAGTCCTCGGGGGTTTCCGTGAGGCTGAAGAACTTGCACCTGGTAAAGGCAAACAGTAGGCAAACATGATTAGATGCTGGACTGAGCAGAGCCTGGTCTTTCACCTAAAATGGAGGTCCTTTCCCATCCAAGGTGGTGGAGGAAAGAGTCAAGGTCTGGTGTTTATGGAGAGGCCTGAGGCATTAACAGACCTGGATTTTATTCCTGGCTAACTCACACTGTGTGGACCCACGTTCCCTGCTGCCTGCCTATGCAGAATGGAGCTGGTAAAACTCTTACTATTTTTATTACTTAGTTCTTAGTTACTTTTCTCTAATTACCATGTCCCTTAAGGTTTCCCATCACAGCCAGGACCTGCTGTGTTGCACTGACACAGAGCAAAAAGCTTTGCTCATTGATTGGTCACTCCAGCACCCTCGAAAAGCCTTCCCATGGTTCATGTGTGCAACTGTTTTTCCTATCTGTCCACTAAAATTTCTTGCCTTGTCAAGATTTGACATCCAATCTCTCAACCAAGCCCCAGTATCTCTTCTTATTGCTTCAGAGGCTGTTTCCACAAGCAGATAGCACCCCAACTTCCTATGCTGGTCCTCGTCCCTTCCCTGGGATGCTCCAGATAGAGCCATGATAGCAGCAACCAAGTCCATGGACACAAGGCTGAGCTTCCCCCACCTTGATCCCCTATTGCTTCTGTTCTGCTCCATGCTCATCTTCTGACACTACAGGTCATGTGCAGCACAGCATTCCCAGCTTGTTCAGCACTGAGCACCACGTCACCTCTAACAGGAGATAAAAACCAAATATGACATGGGATTCTTCCACTGCAGACACAAACAGAAAAAGGCTCAGCCTTAAGGTTTAACATCACATATAGTCAAAAAGGATTTTTTTCCCTGACACACCAACATATGTACAGCAACATCTACTGAAAAAAAAAAAATCAGCTTCTATCCAGTTGGTCCCCAGTAATGGTGGGAAGGTTAGCACAGCATTTTTCAAGCTTATGTTCACCTTCAGCAAAGCATCAGCACCATGCTGGGCAGCAACCCATGCAGGGCTCCCAGCCCCTCCAGGAGCATGCCAGAGCACAAGAACTGTTTTTGCTGCCCAAGCCACAGGAGAAATTTTTCCCTCTAGGAAGCTAAATTGGCTGCAACATGAAGAGCCTGTGTCTCTAAGAACCAAAGAGCAGGATTTCACAGTTACACTATAACACTGTCCAATTTATCTGAGGCAACCTACAGAAAATATTTTAAATACTTGAAAAAGAAATATTGTTCTCAAGACCCCCAAATTTCACAGCATGTTCATAGTATAATTTCTGCATGAAGCACACTTCAGCAGCATTCATCAACCAGGGACTACCAGGGCTTCTCAGCACTGCTGAGCATCTGTGTTTTAAAGTGTTCAGGACTTTTGAAAGCCTGGAACCCCATGCTGGTGGTTCAAGACATCAAAAGATCAAAGCATTTACTTGATTAAAGAATCAGAATAACACCTGGCTGCAGCATTCTTCTGACTGGCTGAAAAGAACAAACATAGCAGCTATCCCCTCCAAAAGCAACAGGGAGAAAAATGAGATGGATATTGCCCTCCCCATCATCTCATCAGAAAACCAAGAAGAAGCAACATGCAGTTCAATAAGTGATCTGCCATGTAACCAGCACGATTGCATGTCCATGGAAAGTATCAGACAACCTGCCTTTAGAGACTCATCTTGTTTCCCTGGAAGCATCCATCACAACAATCAAGCATGACACTCTTCCTCCTAGCACAGACATATCACTATAAAATACAGACGTGGTCCCACCACAAGAGAAACCACAGCTTAATTATTTTGTGTCATCGGTAATAGCTGCTGTGACGGCCACATTTACCAACTCAAGTCTCTCTAGGAACAGTGCCAAGAAAAGCAGAAAATAGCAGCAGTCCAAATTTTTATTCTCACTTCTTAACTGCACAAGGCTGCTACCTGTGCAAGGGGTGATCCCAGCTGGATAAAATGGATTTCTGGGATGCTGTTCCAGGTGAGTCCCAGGAGGTAGAAGTATTTGTTATTTAGTGGATGAATTCCCTGGGAAAGTCAATGAAATTAAAGTCTTTGCTACTACTACCCAACTGAGCCACATGCATGCTGACCAGGGAAAAGCTCGTGGTCTTAAAGGAGAAAACATTAATAAAAAACACCTAATCTTGCCTGACCTGTGATGGCGTTTATGGAAGAATATTGAACCAGAACAGTAATAAATGTCTGTGTGCACCGCTGACCCCAGCAGAAAAAGTATGATTGTGACAGTTTCTGAGCTAGTTTCTGAGCACATATCTAAGGGATATGTACAGATGAAATCCCATAATTGCTGGCTCAGAACGCATGTCAAAACCTCATTATCTTCATGTACCATCTTAAAGCCCAATCCCCCACTCTGGCAGTTCTGTAAAAGGTCAGTACCACAGAGCCATCTGAATTTAAAAGCAGTCTTTCACCAGCACAGAGAAGACCAGTGGTTCTCGGGGTTTATACTCACTTTGTTCAAGCCAATGATGCTTTTTTTTTCCCAAGGGAAATCTAAACATGAAAAACTGGAATTGTAAATCTTGTGTGACAAAACAGAAAGAACTCAATGTCATATCTCTCTCCTTATATAACACATGCCTCTTCCATTCAAGTTATTTCAATAATTTCTCTTTCCTCTTAAACCAGTCCTTGATAAGCTGAATGCCAACGACATTTTCTATTATCACACCAAAGCCAAGAAAGGAAAAGAACTGCCCTTTAATCATTTTGAGACATCAGGCAAACAGTATTTCTCTAAGTACGTGTGGAAAGCATAATATGCAGGAAGACGCATTTCTAGTTTCCTAATAGCCAAACCTCAGGTGGATTATTTTGGATTTCTGCCTCCTTAAAGTTTCAGTACATTTCCACTTCAGCACTGTTGCTGACTTCAACTCCCTAACAACATATGCCTTTTTCTGGCAATGCCACAAATGTAGACCAATCTATAATTAGATTAGATCTTTGAAACTGCAAAGCCTACACTGTGTATGGAAGCAATACCCATGCTTGCACAGAGCAGGAAAACGCCTGTAGGATGCAGCAGCAGCATCATGTCGGTTTGCAAACAGTACTCCAGTCTCTGTGGGAGAAGAGAGCAGGAAAGCAGAGTTTGTTGGTCGTGCTTGCAGGTCCATACCAGAAGTGTCTCCTCCAGCCGTTCGGTCTTCGAGACTCGGTGAGATCACAAGAGTGACAATACTGGGATGAACGTGATTTTCATTGGTTCTGGGTCACATGCAGACCACAAGTTTGTGGGAATACTGCTGTGCATCATTTGAAAGTTCAGCACAGACAATGGTCTTTAAGGAAGACCACAAGTCTTACCTTCTTATTTATATGGACACTACTTAGTTAATTCTTGTCTCAGGAGGCTAAAGTGTTGCAAAGCTGTCTGTACTGTGGAAAACATCTGTTCCAGAAGCAGATGGGTGGCTGGTCTCCTCACACATAGGAAACCATGCCCAAATGTCATTCAAGGCAGTCAGATGTCTGGAGGTAACACAGAAGTTTGCAAAGAAGCAGTTGAACTGAATGGGAATTAAGAAGAAGGAGCAGCAAGTTTATCTGTGTGAATATGAAAAATGTAATTTATTGGGGTTTATTCCAAGCTGTACGCTTTGGTATGTTATTATGACAATATATATTCTTAGTAGAGAAAAAGTCTCATGCTAATCATCTAATTCTTGGTGATCTTTGCGGTTTATAAATAATGACAAGGGGTGGATTCTAGTACATCATCTTTGGAAATGTATTTAGGAAAGCAGTAAAGGACACCTGTGCTGTTAATGTGATCCCAAGTAAAATGCCATAGGACAAGAGGAAACAGCCTCAAATAGCACCAGGGGAGATTTACACTGGGTATTAGGGAAAACTTTTTCACCAAAAGGGTTGTCAGGCATTGGAACAGGCTGCCCAGGGAGGTGGTGGAGTCGCTGGCCCTGGAGGTATTTAAAAGACATGTAGATGTGGCACTTAGAGACATGGTTTAGTGTGGCCTTGGCATTGCTGGGGGAATGGCTGGATTGGATCTCAAGGGTCTTTTCCAACTGTCCTGACGTGATGTACTTGTACAGCCAATTTCTCTACCTAGGCAGTGATGTCTTGCCACAGTTCAGCAGCCCAGATGGGTTTCCGTCTGTGCTGCTGTGCTGGTTTAAAAGTTAACCAGCAGGGGAAAATGAACTCAAAAGAGAGACCACAAGTCAGAATAACAATTTATTAAAACAACACAACAAGTATGATTATACAGACAAACAACCGAATTCAATCCACAAAAACCCAAATGTACAACCCAGTACCCTGGGCCCCCCCTGAGTCCAAAGTCGAGGGGGGAGTGGAAAAAACCTGCTGGTGGGAGAGCTATTGCAGTCCAGTTGAGGGTGGTGGTCTCAGTCTGGTTGAGAGCGGTGAGCTGTAGTCAGGTTGAGAGCGGTGAGCTGCAGTCTTCCTCTGGATCCCACGAGTGGAGAGAGAGTGGCAAGGTTCTGAAACTCCAGGTTTATATATTCTCCAGCTCAGGCAGCAATGCTTAGCCCCTCCCCCAGAGTGGGGAATTCCATAAAAGGATGTTCAGTCCTTCCCTCAGAGTGGGGAATTCCATAAAAGGGTGTGAGGGTACTCAGTCAGGGAATTCCACAAAAGGGCATGAGGACAGGAGCATGGGGGGGGGCACCTCGCAGGCCTCTACTGACAACAGTTTCTGGGAAATGGCATGGAGGGCTATAGAATACACAGTTTTGGGCTACACCCATCCAATGATGAATCGGTCCCAGCTGTTCTAACTAGGACAGTTGCCAATTGGCCTTTTTCCATTGGTCCAGTCACCCTCACAGAGCATTTGCCACCATCCACAAGTCAGTGCAGAGATAGAGCACTGGCCATTTCTCTTGTTCAGTGATATCTAAAGCCAGTTGGACAGCCTTCAGCTCTGCAACCTGACTTGATCCACCTTGTCCATCAGGAGCTTCTGCGACTCACCACC